TATAAGAGTCGCTTGATTCAAACTTCTAAATGAGACTTGAAGTATTGACTCTAATTCGATAGTGGGATGTCAGTGATCGTTTGTATAATTACTAGCAACCATTCGGTTAATGGTATTAGTATAATAAAAATTTATTCTCAGCTAGTGAAACTAAAATTATTATATTTCAGAATTCTATTTACTAATAGGGAAGAATATTTATTCGTTATAATTATGCGATACATTTCCTCAAACAACGACAACTTAAATAATGATCGTAGAAAATTTATTTACTATTTAATTAGTATTGAGAAAGCAGAACAAAGCTGTTGCCTGCAGCGTAATAATTTAAAAAGCTGGTATCTGATAAAACTGCGTGTTCTATTCAGTTATAATTTTTTTTCTAAAACAGATAGTATTTGTCGATTAGACACTATAGCTTGTTTCATCAGTTACAAGACGAAACATCACAGGTATTGCCAAATACGGCAACCCACCATGAAGGGTTTTGGCCCAACACACCAAACGCAATTATAAGCACAAAAACCACTACCCCGCACAGTTGAAACCAAATATAAATGTAGTCATTTCCGCCGGGTGGTGGGCGATTCCGCAGGTAAAAAAAGATAAAACAGACTATGCTATTGAATGTCCAGATAGACGAAATTACCGTAAGATATTTGGACCGACACCCAAATCCTATTGGGCGAATATAGTAAGTAATGACCACTGTCAACCAATGAGATAGTATAGATAATGCTAATGTTAGCAAAACGAATGCTCGTTTTTTTTCAGCAGGATCGCCGACAATAAGTTGCAAATCAATTGGTAGAATGGGGACTCGCGCTGCATCTAACTCCTTGTTTGGACTTTTGCCTATTGTTTTTCCTTTAATCATTCTTACGAGAAGTGCCGAAAATGTCCATGCAAATAACAATAGAATAGATGGCCAGTCTTGCACATGACATGGTCCTATAGCCCTGAGCAGTCCGACAAATACCCCAACGGTTATAAAGTAAAGGGATATAAAGCAAGCAAAGCGCTCCAAAGCCGAGCTAGGTAAGATGCATTTTTCGAGGATATCTCGAGTATTATTATTGTTGTTAGTGTCAAAATCTAGGTTATTTGAGAGAAATCCGAACGGCCATGTTCCACCCACGAAGCGGCCGGCTGGAAGCCAATACGCGCAAGCGTCTACTACATTAGGTGGGCCCTGAGCCTGAGCCTGAGCCTGATCTTTACCCGTGTTTATATTTAGAAAATAAAATAATCCCACAAAGGGACTCCCAAGACATATAAATACACGCAGCATCTTTGAAAAAAGCGTTGTAAAGGGCGAGTCTCCGAGAATTAAAATTGCAGGAAGAATGCCCAATAGATATTGGGGTATTGGGTTTACTAATATATTGGTTATAAATACGGATGGAGATTCGTTTTGCGTCATGTTAGGTAGATATTTAAGAAAAATATGGTGGTTTTTTTTATACAAATCAATTTTTGGCTAGCAATAATGCTTTTGCGGCAAAAATCATAAATATCTCGACTTTATATAGTTGCAATTTGAACGTTTTTAAGTTTAATGATTGATATTAAATGTTGTTTAAACAGTGGGCTTTCAAAATTACTATATTTGTTATATGATATATACAAAATATGTGCGTATAACTTTTAAGTTTGCAATACGTAGTACATATTTTGCGGTTTGTCTTACTGCATTCAATGTCCTTAATGCTTTACGCTTAAAAAGACCATTCATATTCCTTGTTCAATTTGATCGACTGTAAACTTATCTTGTTTTTGAGTCTGAGAATGCAGAGAGGTAATACACGCAATTAACTAATAAAAAAGTCTTTTGTATTCATCACTGCTAGATTATCAATGGTTGATATGATGATAATAAAGCAACTGTACGACAGATCAGAAATAAAAATGAGAGATGAAATTAACCTAAACCTGTTACTTTAGAAAATAATTCTATGTTTGTTGATTACGGAGAAAGTGTTTCATTTATTGTCAGACTGTATAACAATAAAAGGTTCTAGGCCAAAATGTAGCAAGAAGCAGCCGCAATTACTAAACGCTTGTCATTTTCTCTTTTTCTTTTACGGCAGTTTTTTGTTTGTTCGAGTTCATTTCTTTTATCTACAAGATTATAAACCAATATAAAGCAACTTTCTCACTTATTTATTATTCTAAAGCCTTTTCTGACTGTTTGCTGATGACGTTTGTTGAGCTAGACTTCTCACTTTTTTTTGTTATCTATTGTAACTTTACACTAATTGCACAAATTTTGCGTATAGAATTGAAATAATGTTGTGTCACTTGTACTAAGGTGAACACTTTAAGTAAAATAAAAATACGTATGCGTCTTTTTCAAGATTCAATCAGTTCGCTCAAACCAACAAGCAAGGTTTAATTCTAAAATTTGTTTATACTCGTGTAAAGAATTTCGCAATCAAATATTACGGTTAGCCTCAATAAACTCACGTCATGCCAGTGATAAATGGTACCATACTTTCCTTCGAGCAAAGGATTGAGCGGGACAGATGTTGGGAATAATAATACATAGTCATCCGAAGTCAACGGGACCCCTTGCATAATTATCTGTACAACATTACTGTGAGAGATCGATGCATGTATTTTGTGTAACAGAAGAAAAGATAGAAATATGTCGTCATTATGCCTGGCTGAGCAAGTTAAATTTGCTCTATTATTTGAGCTTACGGTGTAACCCGGGTACAAAAGTGACAAAAACTGAGACCTGATATAGAGATCTATCGTGTTGATCACCCCATATGAAAATTAAAACGTCGGAGTGTGAAATTGTTGTGGAACCCAGTCACTCAGTCCAGAACTCAGTTATCTCAGTCCAGAACCCCAACTGTGATACAACAAAGTCAAACCGTTTGGTTGCAGAGTTAATATCGACTCGTAGTTATGCATAATCTTATCAGGTACTAATAATAACATGACTACTTTCATAGTATACTAAATACTAATTAATACGAAAAATCTCATTACGACAATTTTTTTTTTTGGCTACACAATGAAATGTAAATAAAAATTATTCATAAATTCGCTGGCCAGAAGATATACAGTATAGGCTGTTATACACCCCCATGCCAAAAGTATAGGATATTACAAAGTGGGATGTTTCTGTAAGGATAGATTAGGACCGTTAATTTGGGTTAAAGGAGAGATGACAATACTCCTTGTCACAGAGCAAGATCAGTACGAAATTGGGAGGAATCTCAATCGATTAATTCACGTGAGTAGCCCTCTCAGAGTCCTGACCTTAATTAAAAGAACATCTGTTGGATGAATTAGAACGAAGGATTAGGCAAAACAAGTTTAGACCGAAAAATAAGGCAGAATTGTTTGCAGCAATAGGATCAAATACAAGACGATGTAATCAATAAATTAGTCGATAGTATGCCTCGAAGAGTTAAAGCTGTATTGAGGCGCTACTCCATATTAACTATACTATTAAAAGAAGCGTTTGTTAGGGTGTTGAATGATTTAACTTACACTAATGTTAAGTGGCAAACTTGTACATCGCATCTCAGATGATCGACATTCATATTTATCCTTTTGGCAGGAGTGTACAATTTATTGAAGAGAAATAAAACAATCTTAAATGATTTAATCCAAGTAATTAAAAAATTATGTTGATGTATCGTTTAATGAAAGGACATAATACATAACATAGCGGTCAGTCATACTCAAATACGTTTCAGTTTTTGTCACTTTATATCTGGAGTATCCTGTGCTTTTTAGAATAAAAAACTAGTTTGTCGTTTCTTAGCTCAGTTTACACTTTGTTGATTGACAGAGGTAGTTTCTAATTTTTGAAGAGCAAGAAGTTGGGCCAAAGATGATAGAAAATCGAAATTATGAAGCTCTACATTACACAATTCTCTGTAACAAAGCCACTGGTGTGAGAGAAAATGTGTTAGAATGTGATAATAAATTGGTTTACGTGTAAAGTTTGGTAATGTTGCAGAATTTAGCATTTGGAAGCTTGAACTTCGGTAGCATGTGCAGCTGTCGAGTCAAACAAAAGAATAAAAATTGGATTCGCTAGGAAAAGAGTGTTTCTTTGATAAGAATTTGCAGTAACTGGTTATTTCTTTTGTAGGATGCTTGAGTAAAATGAGTGGTTTTATAGCGTGTCGTGGAATGTACATTGTCTAAACAAATCATCTTTTTATTCATGTTGTAAAGACTGTCGTCATCAATAAAGTCTACTGTTACGTCGAGCTTAATACGTACATATTAAGACTACCGTTTATAAATTGAATGACATATACGCTTTCACCAGTTTATCGAGCCAATCGAATTTGGAAATTACAAATATCATCTAGCCATCTGATGGCTTGATGGACTTCGATGGCTCGATACCATATTTGGTAACATCTCCTTTTAAGAATATGTGATATACCAATTGGGTGATATGAAGTATTTAATATTTCACGGAATAAACTTTGCAAATATGATTTGTGCTACCAAATGTGATTAAATCCTATGCTGTCTAGCCAATGATAAACTGATTTCCAAAATGGATTGGCTCGATGAACTGGTGAGAGCGCTCATGGTTCACTTCAGTTATATGGTTTTCATGTAGTTGATGTCAATGTTGGCAAACGACTAACTCTATTTGTAACAAATATTCTATCTTTTAATTCCCACGTTCGAGAATATGATAGCTTACGGTATATTGTATAACATATGCACAGAGAGTTAATAATTGGAGTGATCACAGCACTAATACATAAAGAATGAAACTATCAACAGACAGCTTTTTTGTTGAGTGTGAATGAGATGAGTTGTGTGAGAAGAAACGTTAAACTTTTTCCCACAACGTAAACTCGCGATTTTTATGTCCTGGTCTAAATAGGCTTTAACAGCAATAAGCGATATGAATTGCATTAAAAAGCGGAAGATAAGAAGTATAAGATAAGAATAAAAGCGACATTGGATAATTTTTGAATCATACCGAATGCATAAAAAACAGTCATGTAAGTGCATAAAAGAACCACTTATTGTTGGACATAGGGACAAGGATTAAAGAAACTAATTCTCCAAGTTACAAAAATGTAGAATATAATACTGTGTTTATTCAGATAATATTTAGTCAACATACGACATCTATATATGCACGTGACTGATTATGATTTGTATTACACGAAGTTGTAGTAAGCACCCCTGTAGTTTATGTCGGAGATACCGTATAGTTCCGAGAATATACCCCTTACTGCACTGCTAACAGCATGGTGGGAGAAATTACTCAACCACTCTATTTTACTGCTACAACGCTATCGAAAAACGTTATATTCTTTTGGTTAAGAAATTGTATATTAATATGGAAAATGCTACAATACATTGCATTTTATATAACAACTTTTTTTGGGACTAATTGAGTTAGCAATGACTGTAGTATATTCGTAAGAGTTATGAAAAAATGCACTTCTTTAATAGAAAAATTTTGCACTAATAGTATAAATATTTACAAGGCTGTGATGGAGTCATAACGTCAGACACTATACAGTCAACTTTTTAAATCGTCTTGCGATATATTAATTAGACATGGTGTATCTAAACCACTGTTGCTAAGATAGCTTAAGCAAAGCATACATTAAGCATGAATTCAAAAAGCCGTTCTGGCGTCGATTAATCCTAACCAAAGATTTATCATGGCGAAAAAGACAAATAATGAGGAAGTGACAAGAACCATAATTATTGATTACACCGTATGCTATTTGCACAGACTAGAATTTTGTTTGGAAAGAAGATTGCTTGCAGCTTTGATAATTCGGTAAAAAATTGCATCTAATAAAAGTGCGTGCGTTCTACACGTAATTAACAATTATAATAACAGATATATCTGTCGATTAGACACTATTACTATAGCCTGTTTCGTCAACACAAGACGAAACATCACAGGAATTACCAAATATGGCAACTACTGATGGGTCATGACTTAACACACCAAACGCCACTCCACATATTTGAAACCAAATATGAATAGTCACGTTCGATATCGACGCCGGGTTGGTGGGTCATTTCGCAGACAAAAACAAATAGAGCAAACTATGCTGTTGAATGTCCAGATAGACGAAATTACTGTAAGATATTTAGACCGACACCCGAATCCTATTGGGCGAGTATAGTAGGTCAACCAATGAGATAGTATAGACAATACCAATGTCATCACAACTTTTGCTCGTATTTTTTTAGCATTTAATTCATCCTCAGGATTTTTGCCCACTGTTTTTCCTTTAATCATTCTTGCGACGAGTGCCGGAAATGTCCATGCAAATAACAATGGAATAGACGCCAGTCTTAAACATGACATAGTCCCTGCCGCTCTGATTATTCCGATAAATACCCCAACGGTTATAAAGTAGGGCGATATTAGACAAGCAAAGCGCTTCATAGCCGAAC